CTGCTCACTACATCTACTTCCTATCCTCTCAATTTGGTTATTTCCCTCAGTATTAAAATAATCATGAGTGTGTGAATGTTGTCACAGAGGCAGCAGAGCATAGTGGTTAAGAGTAACAACTCTGGAGATAAATTACCTGGATTTGAATTTTGCCACACAGCTCTTGCCCCATCGTTGTCATGCTAAGAATTCCCCTCATTCTTTTTTTTTTTTAGCTCTTCTGCTTTCCTTGCTTATGTGTCCTCTTTCATTCTTTACTTTCTATTTTGATGGTTGTTCTGTATTTTGGGGGAGTGGGTCAGTCACAAGAGGAGACATGGGAAAACAAAGTTTATTATTCTCACAAGTCTTAGAGAGGGGAGTCACCATATGCCCCATAGGTCCCAGGGGAAGAGTAAGGTTTTGGTCAGGTGGCCAAAGACAGGAGCAAGAGGAAAGCCTAAGCTAGAACCTTAATTGAGATTTCTTTGGGAAAGGCAAGGCAGGATAGACAGTTTCAAATGGCAGTTGGAATTATTCTGGCAGGCTGTAAGCTATAGAGATGGTCTCTAGTTGCCTGCTTCTTCCCCTGGGATTTCTTGAGACCTTGCTTTTCTGCAAGTGTCTTCATTCCACTCACACTTAATTGATAGTATAACTGGGTATGGATCTCTAGCTTAGAAATAATGATTCCTCAGAATTTTGAACGTATTAGTTCCTGTCTTCCTGAGTTAGCTTTGGAAAATCTGATTTTCTTCTAATTGCTAATTTGTTTGTATATGACCTATTTCTCTCTGGAAACTTTTTGGATCTTTTTTCCTTATTCCTACTGCTTTGCAAATGCTTTGACTTGGATTGCAGCTTGTAATAAAGAGTCTAACTCCATTTTTTATATCTGACTGCTGACAGCTTTCAATCCCCACCTTCCCCTTTAGTCTCTTGCCTGTGAAAAAAAACATGGTGATACTTCAAAAAAATTAAACATAGAATTGCCATATGATCTAGCATTTCCACTTCTGGGTATATGCCCAAAATAATTGGAAACAGGGACTCAAACAGCCAATGTTCATACCAGCATTATTCACATTAGACACAAAGTGGAGACAACCCAAATATCCATCGGTGGATGGATGGATAAACAAAATGTGATATACATATATATATACACACACAATGAAATTCAGCCTTAAAAGGGAGTGAAATTCTGATACATGAACCTGGAAGGCATTAAGCCTAATGAAATAAGTCAAACTCAAAAGGACAAATACTGTATGAGTTCACTTGTATGAGATAACTAGAGTGGTCAAGTTCATAGACACAGAAAGTAGAATGGTGATTGCCAGGGATGAGAAGAGGAGAATGGAGAGTTACAGAATTTCAGTTGGGTATGATTAAAGCATTCAGGAGTTAGGTTGTGATAATGATTGTACAACAATGTGAATGTACTTAATGTAACTCAACTGTGCACTTAAAATAGTTAAGATGGTAAATTTATGTATATTTTACCACAATATAAAACTAAATTTAAAAAAGATCTGTCTTCAAGAATAAAGATTTATTGCTAGGATAACAATGGGATGTGGGGAAGGTTGGAGGTCTCCCTCTAATTGACATTATCCCCTGTAACCTTATGACTATTTCTTGTTTCCTATCTGTCCCTGCACATAACTACCAGATAACCATGTGGCTTTCTCATTACTTCACTGTTTTTTGTTTCCATGGTTTCTTTTTTTTTTTTTTTTTTGAGTTGGAGTCTCACTGTCACCTAGACTGGAGTACAGTGGCCGCTCCCGGCCACCGCAGCCTCGACCTGCTGGGCTCCAGCGATCCTTCCGCCTCAGCCTTCCAAGTAGCTGGAACTACAGGCGCATGCTACCACACCCGGCTAATTTTTTGATTTATTGTAGAGATGAGGTCTCACTAAGTTGCCCAGGCGGGTCTCGAACCCGCGGGCTCAGGCAATTCACTCACCTCAGCCTCCCAAGGCGCGGGATTACAGGCTGAGCCACCAAGCCCAGCTATCCATGGTTTCTAATGAGAAATCTGCTATTGAAATATCTGAAAAATTAATAATGGTTTATAATAGCTTGTTTAATATAAAACTAGTTTGCTTAATGCTTGACATAAGTAGTATTAATCCGTAATAGCTCGCTTGACATAAATAACTACATCTTGTTGAAGTCTTCCAACTTAACTGCCCACTTGACCTAGAAATGAATCCCCATTGTGTACGCGTAATTGCTGTAACGTTCCCATGACCACAGACCCACAGTTGCATTCCCTTGAGTTGATCACGTTGACTGTTCCTGTTGACCATTTGCAAGACTCCCTAGCCACAAGTTCCGTGTAATTGTATGCCTTGTTAACTGAAATCCAAGAGATTGTTCCTTTTGTTTTTAGTTCCTTGTACCCTTACCCCCTGCTATGTAGCCCACTGGCAATTTTTGCCTTTATAAGCTTCTTGCTAGTTTAGTTCAGACATCAAGAGTTTTTTCTGGCGTGAGCCTGCTCTTGACCCACGCGTTAATAAAAGACTCATAATTAATTAGACTTTGTGTGCTGGCGTGTCTCTTTCTCGCAACTCGGTCATAACACTATAAGTTTTATATATTTCCCCCCCCGTATATAACATAATCTTTTTCTGTCTGCTTTTAAGATTTTCACTCTGTTATTGGTAATAGCCAGCCATGAATTTATAATAGATAATACCAGTAGGGAATGAGACAAGAGGAGTTCACTAACCCTTCCTTACATCCCATTGCTATCCTGGCAATAAATTTTCATTGCTGAGTATTTCCAACTATGCAAGGATACAATGTGAAACTGAAGAGCCTGTTTTCAAAGCTATGAGATCATGTGAACCCTTTCTCACCATACACCTGAAGGCCACCTTAGGAAAAGAAGCAGTGTAAGGTATGGAAATGCTATATTGGAAAAAGATTTTTTTTTTTTTTGAGTCAGGGTCTCACTCTGTATCCCAGGCTGGAGTGCAGTGGCATGATCATGGCTCACCTCAGTAGTCTCGGCCTCCTGGGCTTGGGTGATTCTTCCGCCTCAGCCTCCTGAGTGGCTGAGACTACAGGCATGCGACACTACACCTGGCTAGTTTTTTGATTTTTTTGTGGAGACAATGTCTCTCTATGTTACCCAGGCTGGTCTCGAACTCCGGGGGTCAAGCAGTCCTCCCACCTCACCCTTCCAAAATGTCACCATTACAGGCGTGAGCCTGGCTAAATTTTTTTTTTTTTTTTTTCCTTAAAGAGTTACGTGTTTCTGCCGGGCTTGGTGGCTCAGCCTGTACTCCCAGCACTTTGAGAGGCCAAGGTGAGTGGATTGCTTGAGCCCGCACGTTAGGGACCAGCCTGGGCAACTCGGCGAGACTGCGTCTCTATAATAAATAAAAAAATTAGCGGAGCGTGGTAGTGGTCGCCTGTAGTTCCGGCTACTTGGAAGGCGGAGGCAGAAGGATGGCCAGAGCCTGGCAGGTCGATGCTGGGGTGGCAGTGAATGTGACACTGCACTCCAGCCTGGGCAACAGAGTGAGACTCTAATTAAAAAAAAAAAAAAAAAAGTTATGTGTTTCTTGTAGGGCTTATTTAAATTATTTAATCAAATAAAGTTTTAAGCCAGACTAGGGACTCCTGATAACACAACTTGAAAATTTATGAAGCAATAGTAATCCTGGAATTGTGCAACGTAGTGGTCCTGCTTATCAGCTGACTTGCCACTCTTCACGTCATTACATTATTGATTGACATCTCTGTTCAACGTTCTTTCCTCAAACATTTTTCCTTAAACTAACGATTCTACTTAAAATAACCATTCCTCCAAGAACCCCATAATTCTGTTTTCTTTTTCTTTGTAGCACTTAATCACAGCTTATTATTATTTCTTGGTTGTTGTCAGTCTGCTGCAGTAGAGAATAAGTAACATGGGTGCATCTTTATTGTCTTATTCATATCATATACCTAGTACCTATATCAAAGCCTAGACTATCACAGAAGATTCTCGATTATATTTGTTGAATGACTGTATTTATTTATGCATTTACTTACTTTTTATATTATTTAATATAAAGCATATATTTAACATATTTATGTTATCGAATCTGAGCTTAATTCTCCTGTTCGTTTTTATCATTTATCCATTCATGCTGCAACGCCACTTACTAAGTAAGCCTCTGCTTTGTGTCATGTATAGTGTCAGCATGAGAGGTGGGAGGAGACAAAGATGTATAAACGAGCACTCCATAAAAATATCTCCTTTTATCATTATGTAGGGAAAAAAAAAAAAATATCTCCACTTCCTGCAGAATAAAATTCAAAGTCCTTTGCAAGCAAAGACCGTGCATTCTAAATCCAAGAGGGAAAATAAGGTTTTATTTTTTAAAGCACTCAGAGAGTTAGGTTTGCTTCTAGAAATGTGGAAGCCTCCTTCTGTTTTCTTCCTCTCAAGGAGCCCAACGCCTCAATTTTTCGCGAAGGAGCAGAAGCGCCAAACCGCAGCCAGCCTGCCTTGCTTAAAGCTCCCCCTTGGGTAATTGACAACTGGGGAAATCCCATTGAGGCCTGCCCCCACCCTCCTCCTTGCTAGACCGACTGGCGAAATCCAGTGGGAGTGGCTTCCATCTTAGCCAATAGACGAAGCGAGAGGAAGAGCCTGTGTAAACAAACCCAGAGTGCTGCGCCTTGGTCTCCTCCCCCACGAGGGGGCAGGACGCATTCTTGGCCCAATGCCCATCCGGGTCTAGCGTAGAGTCCTTTCAGCCACTCAGAGCCGGTGTCTCCCGAAGGAGGCGTTCCATCCCAAGGAGAGAACGAAGGGAGCGAAAAGACAGACGTTAAAACCAATCAGAAGCTGAAACTTCTAAGGGAGTGGGCGGGCACTGCTTCACACTTAGACCAATAAGAACCACAAGTGCCCTTCCAGGCGACCGAACGGCGTCTTCTTTGGCCCAATAGGAGAATGGGGCGGTGCCCGGCAACCAATAGCTTGGCCTCGGGGGCGGGGTGAGGAGGCAGTGTGCAGCAGGAGGTAACCTGGCGAGTGGTAGGGGCGCTTCTTTGGTGCTGTGGCTCACGTTTTGGTATTAGAGGCCGAGACTGTCCTGGCGACGGCGACCTCTGCGGCGACGGCTTAGGCTCTCGGAGGAGTGTCAGAGTACGGTCCGGAGAAGGGGCTTCTGGTCAGTCAGGTGGGCTCGGGCGCCCGGGCTGCCGGGGGAAGGACCCGCGGGAAGCCCTGCTCTCCCGTCTCTGGGGGCGCCCTGCGTCCCCCTTTCCGCCGCCGTCAGCGCTGTGAGGAGCGGCGCGCGCCTGCCTGAGCTCCTGTGAGGAGGGAAAGCCCGCAGCGTCCCACGTAGCGGCCATGGGCGAGAAGGGGCGTTCGCTGGGGTCCCCTCCTGCCCTTCGGGAGCGCTAGGGGGGTCTCAGTCCCTTTCCCCCGCACAGGTGCTCTGTCTCCCCCGCCCCCACCCAAGTTCCTGAGCCCCCTCGGCCCCCTGCTAACACTCAGGCCGGGTTTTCGGCCTCTGAGTCCGCTTGCTACCCCGGTGCAACACAGCTGGGCAAATTGACCTGCATCCCCCCTCGCCGCCCCCTACTCCGGGCGAGAAGGGGCGGGGGAGGTAGTTGCGCGGTGTGCCCCTCCCCCATTCGCAGGCCCCTGCGCGTCACCTGCTTGTCTTATGCTCGCCCCATCTCCCCCTTTACTCCAGCCCTCGTTCTTCGGACCTCGTTCCACTGGACCGCTTCTCTTCTGCCTTGCCTGCCGCGAGTGGGTCCTGCACCCCCTGTTACCCCCTAAATGTCATCCTCATCTCCCTCGAAACTAACATTTTCCATTGGCCTGTTCCAGGCAACGGGAAGGTGAACATAAGGGAGGCAGAATACACTGACCAGAGAGCTTTGCAAGGTTGGGAACTTTAATCGGTTTTGCTAATGGTAAACTATTTTTGCCTTCCTTAAGGTGGCATTTGATCGTTATACCCTCTCTAGAATCTTTGTCCCAATGCAATTCTTTGGTGATAATTACTGAAAATGCAGTTGAAAAGAGTTAACTGCAGCATGGGATTTAAAATATATTATTATTATTATTTTTAAGTAGATGGAATTGGGTTATACTTTAAACAGCTTAACTGGGGTTGCTGAGAGTTTGCAGTGTAAGGGCCTGGCTACCCTAGTTTGTCATAAAATATAGGACATACTTAGCTGTACAGTTCAGTGTGATTTGATCCTACCCAAATGAATGACTAATTACAGCAATGAATCTGTTTTAAAACAATATTCTCTATTTCCTTTTCACAGAGAATTTGTAGTGACCTTCACTGTGTACTCGTTTGGTTTACAGTAGTGTTGATTCTAGCCATATGTTTCTAGATAATAGTACAAACTATGTTGTGCCCAAATAAAATTATGTCAAGAATTTTATGGGGAAAACCTAGGTCTCCACGGTTAATTTTGATTGAGATTATAGAGGTTTGAAAATATTAATTTAGGTATTGGACAGTGAGGGTTTTATTTTGGAGGTTGGAGAAAATGTGAAATATTGGAGTAAGATTGGTTAGAACCCTTAAGATATATGTAGGGGAGGTAAGGGTAGGGGGAGATATATATGTTGTAAATCTTCACAGTGCTTAGTTATGTAACTTACATGAACTGAAATTGTTTTTCCTAGTTCTCAGTGGAGAAATGTAAGTCGTGAGTTTAACATCATGTTTACTGTGTTTTATTTGGCCAGGATTTTGGAAGTTTTTGTGAAACAAATCTTGTCCTTATCCTGTTTGTAACATATATATCAGTATGCTTCCCTGTATTTTGCTATGGTAAAATTCTATCTTATATATGGAGAAATAAGTCTATTAGAGTGAGTTAAAAGAAATCTTTTACTCTGAAGTGGCAGCACTGTCTAAGAGACCATATGTTTGAGCGTTGTTAATAAATCTCACTAGAGCTGGTGTTGTGGCAGGTGCCTGTAATCCCAGTCACATCGGAGGCTGAGGCCTGAGGAGCCCTTGAGCCCAGGAGTTTGAGACCAGCTTGGGTCACATAGTGAGACTTCATCTTAAATAAATAAATAAAACCACACTAAAAAGTGCAAGTTCTTAAAACTGTTCCAACGAATGTCTAGGTGTCTAGAACAATGAAAATAATTTATGACAGAATTATACCTGTCATCAAAGAAAAGTCCTGGGAAAATTGCAAATCTATGAGTTGGCCACTGATGTCAACTGGTTTAAGGCTGCAGTTGAAAACCAGTTATTTTTATACAGTCCTTTCAGGTATGTTTGTACTTAGTAATTACTTGTTTGCAAGTTTAGAGGACTGTAGCTATGATTTCTTCCTAGAGACCTTGACCTTGAGGAACTCTCAGTTTAGTGTAAGAGAGAACTGTATATTAAAAATGAAATACAGAGAGAGAGGTTCTACTGTACGGGCTGTATACAGAGTGCAGAGAAGCACTGCAGCTCCGTGTTCTGGCCTCATCTTCTACTACTCTAGACTTCCTGAAGTGCCATTTTCTGAACGTATCTGGTTTTTTCCCACACACCTGGGCCTCCCTCTGTAAGTGCTGTTCTCTCTCCTTGAAAGCCTTTTCCGCACCTTATGTGTCTGGTGAAGTTCTGTTTTTTTTTTTTTAATCTTGAAGGCTCCTTCCACCTCAACCAAGTAATTACGTTGCCTATTTTTCTGTTATTTCTTTTCTTTTTTTTAAAGTGAGAAAACAGTTAAGAGGACAGAAAAGCTCCCACAGTGGGAGGGGACCCGAGGGGGTTGTCATGTTATTTCTTTATAAATAATTACAGTCAGTTCTCATTGTTCGCAGTAGTTATGTTCTATAAACTCATCTAGAATATTGAATTATCAAACACTAAACCATTACTCCATTATTCATTTATTCACCAAATACTTAGTATGAGCCAGATTCTGCTTTAGTCTGTGGCGAACAGCTGAGGGAATATATGTACATATGTACATATCTCACATAGGTTGTAATCTTAAATTTTAAAAACAGCACATCCTGGTAGATTGTATTTTCTTTATTTGCAAAAGTCAAGGAAGTACAGAAGTGTTAAGTGATTTGCCTGTGGCCTCTCCACTAACAGGTGCCAAAGTTAAGATTCAGACCTTGTCCAGTTGGCCCCAAAGCTAGGGTTTTTGCACTACACTGCACTGCCCTCTACTGTCTCTGTCCTCTGGTCATCTTCATATAAGCGCTAAAATAAAAAAGCCAAGCATCACTTTATTCAGCCTCAGCTTGTGATGTGTGCAAAGAGTAACAGATTTTTCACCACTGTGTGTATGTCTTTGAATGACCTTGAAGGCTCCACAGGTATTGGTTTTGGGGTTACAAATAAATTGTAGCAAGTAAGCAAATTCACAAATATAGGATCCTTAGATAATGAAAATCAACTGTATTTGTAAGTGACCCCTAGGGTCTGTTTCATGGTGACTCTCTCCTCTAATCCTCTGTAAAATGTCCCTGTAACTTTCTTAATAGTTTCTTCACTTTTTCATTTATTCACCCAATGCTTGGTATAAGCCAGACTGCTTTAGTCTATGGTGAACAGCTACTCAGTAATGGATGCAAGTTTTAGGGAAAGAACATTCTCAGGTTGGTTGTTGGCAGGTACCTATAAGAGTTTAGAAACACAAATATGGAATTTAAGGAGCTATTTTATCATAGTAAAATTTACTTCACTAAGTATGAAACTCATCTGTTGCACATTATTCAAGGTGCTGAAGATATACTCATTCTCAAGGAACCCAGGAGCAAGAAGGGAGACAGATGGATATTAACAACTGATTTATCATGTGACAAGTAAGGTAGTAGAGATATGAATAAAAGGCAATCTAAACCAGGAGAAAGGAGTGGTTAGTAGTATATGGGGAAAGATTTTTCATGTGAGGTGATATTTGAGCAATCTGAAGCACTGTACAAATATAAGACTGAAGAAATGGTTCCAACTTAATTTAACATTTTATTTTTGTTTTTAATTTTATATTGCAGAAAATAGTTCATATTTACTGTTGTGAAGTTAGAAAGCACTGATGGCAAAAGGGAAGAGGACTACAAAGCACTCCATAGATTTATCATACTGAGACAGTGGTTCATGTTTTGGTGGATGTATGTTGTACTCTCTATGCATATTTACTATGCATTTTAAAATAGAAATGGTTCGCTGTAGGTGTTCTGTTTATCCTTTTATTTTTATGAGATAAATCTTCAAAAGGAGTGTTTTGCTGCATATTGCTGTACATAATGGGAACTAAAAAAGTGGCTAACTTTTCAGCCTGGTGAACATGTGGTCTTGTGGTGATCTGATCTCCTGAGCCACTTCAGAGTCTTCATCAAAGGCACATGCAGAAATGGAACTTGATATATGTAGGTGTTCATGCTTGGCATTATTGTTTGTAATAACATGATAGGGGTGACTTCAGTGTCTGTCAACAGGGAACTGGTTAAGTAAGTTGTGGTACATCCACACCATGGAATATTGTGTAGTTGTAAAGAAGAATGAGGAAGATGTGTGTACTCATGTATAAGAGTTCTAAGATATATTATGAGTTTTAAGAAAAGGAACAAGGTATGGTATAGTGAGTATAGTATGCTACTTTTTGTACTGAGACAGAATGAAGAGTAGAATAAGAATACACATGCGTGTTTGCAGAGAGAAATTCTGAAATGATACATAAACCAATTAAAGTGTTTATCTGTGGAGGAAGAATAGGAATAGAAATGGGATTTTACTGTATACTTTTAAATACAGCTATATTTAAAATTTTTTTAAATTATGTGTTTTTATGTATTGCCCTTTTAAAAATAAGTGAATGAATGAAATGAGGTTATGAGAAAGATAAAAAAGGACCTAAGGGCCTGGGCATAGTGGCTCACACCTGTAATCCCAGCACTGGGAGGCTGAGGTGGGAGGATCACTTGAGGCCAGGAGTTCAAGACCAGTTTACTCAACATAGTGAGGCCCTGTTTCTACCAAAAAAAAATATCTGAGTATGCAAGCCTATAGTCCTAGCTACTCTAGAGGCTGAGGCAGGAGAATCACTTGAACCCAGGAGTTTGAGGCTGCAGTGAGCTATGACCGTCCCACTGCACACCAGCTTGGGCAATAATGAGACCCTGTCTCAAAAAAAAAAAAAAAAATCGAAGGGACTGCTTTTCTTTTGTTACCAGATGAAT